AAAATAGATAAGTTTACCTGCAAATGGTTTGCGTATGTGTCTCCAAGTTCTTGTCCTTTGTGGGTGTTACCTTATGTCCATTCTTTGAACGAGTTATCAAATATTTTTGGTATGATTTTTGTTGTTGATCAATTTAGAAATAAGGGAATAGAAGTTATGCAATAGATGGATTCGAGAAACGAAAACATTGGAAAGAATATTGTTTTAATTTGTGTTTGTGTGTGTTGCATCGAATGGTGGTTGTAGTAGGCTTCGAACATGGGGGCAGATGGGTGTGAGATGTGGTTGGGGGAGAGGAAAATGTTTTTATTGTTCTAATCTTTATTTTTTATCAATTTTAATTAAAATATACACAAAATAATCTTTTTTAGCAAAAAAATAACTTTTAATGACCAAATAGGTTTCGTCGCTAAAAGTATTGATTTTGCATCGAAATTAGTAAGTGCTTGTGTTGATTAAACTTTGCTAAAGTTTTATCAACCTATTAAGTGATTAACTTCAACTTATAACACATTTGATGAAATCCACAACTTTCATCAATTTTTATTGATTTTTATTAAAATTTCAATCAAAACCTTCATCAAACAATCATTAAGTTGAGTATTGAGCTCAATGAAGAAGGCAAGTGGAGTCTTCGGACCCACTAAAATACTAGGGAAAAAAATTATTCTTCCCGTAGTAAGATTAGACATCAACTTAATCAGTCTTGACTCCACCACACCACCATTGGTTATGATGTCAATAAACATATATTGGATCCAAATCTATGAATATGTTGATAGGTTAGGGACCAAATCTGCAATTTTTCCTAACAAGAATGAAAGAAAGTGAAAGTTGAGTCTTGCTGCTACAAGTACAGAATTTTTTTACTGAAAATTCTCACATACATTACATGACACTAACATCATTGATGGAAAGAAAAAAACAATACAATCACATTTTGGCATATCAGCATTTATACACTTTTTATTAATTTTTTCATACACTTGGAGCTTTATTCGTGATTGTAATGCAAGGTTACGTGTGGGGTGAACACTTTGACATCACTGAAATTCAAATAATGCAATTATTGCCATTGACAAAGTCCAAGAGGCAAAAAAAAGTGGAAAATATTATTCAGGCACGTGGATCGAGCCAGATGCTCATGGACAAAAAGTGCTGCGTAAGCCGATTTCTTCCTTTATCAGTTTGTTGACTTAACTATTATGTTACGTGTTTTGGTTGAAAGGATGCTAAAGGTCGAATTTGAATATTATACATTATCTTACTTGTGCTTCCGCCCACGTAGCTTTGAAGTTTAATTTGCAACTTGCTTGGGAGCCAATTTTTTGATCGTTATTTCACTATTTCAGTCGTCATATTTGACTTCTTCTTTTACGGGTGAACCTTACTTTTCTTCTAGCGATCAAAAAATCAATTCTCAAAATCACTCTCAAACGGGCTCTTAAAGAATGATTTCTACTTTTTTATTATTTATAAATTTCTTTTCGCTTTAGAATTTCGATTCAACAAATAGTTTTAAAGTAAAATTTAGAAAAAGTTGTAAATATTCCAAATGTTTCAACAAAATTGAAGAAATAAAAATAAATAAAAGAATTTTCTTCATCTGCCCATCCACACCAAACCCCACTGCATAGAGGGAATATTGAAATAGTAGGATTTTTGTGCTTTAGTTGCTGGAATTTTATGATAATTTCTTTGTTATTGATTATTAGAAATGCCTAACCCTTATGGACCATACATTTTTTTCCATCTTTTGTCCATTTTTTGTGCATTGAAGATTTGAAGTATGTATACAATATTTAGGCCATGTTTGATTTTCATTTTTATCAAAATACAGTTTTCTCTCTCTCTTTTTTTACAACACATTTTTCATTAAAATAATATTACATGTAAATAAAAAAATCATTATTTTTCATCAATATATTCTCCATTAATTTACTATTCCAAAATTCATTTTTCCATAAAAATGAATATCAAACACTCTCTTAAAGATTTATCTTTTTGCAAGAGGGCTGCGTGGATTGAACCTTCGAAAGAGGACGATTTTTATTTAGCTATTTCTAACTACTTATAGAAAGATCAATAAAAGTGACTGTAGTTGCAATAGAATTGAGAGTTCTACTGTAGGTAAATCAGTGAAGCCATACCCATTTCACTATAGATATCAGCCATACCCATTTCTTCCATTTCCTTCTCACTTCTCCATTTCCTCTCGTAAACCCAGACAGTTTCTTCTCTCACTTTTTCTCTCCTTTTTTGTGATTAATCTTTGTACAAAATTATCGTGAATAGAGAGGTAAATCCTTGGCATGCCATTTTTCTCTATTTTGTTTATTCAAGATTGTATGTGCAAAAATTTTGATTTCGAGTGAATACTTTCTGTGATTAATCTCTTCATGCAAAATTCTGGTAAATCCTGGCATGCCGTTTTTCGCAGATTATGATTTTATTTATTCAAGATTCTAGACAGGTATATCCTCGATTTTATCTGATAATTATAATTTTGTTTATTCGATTGAGAATTTTGGGTTTTTGTGTGAATAGAGAGGTATGTTCAGTTTAATGAAAATTAAAATGCTTATTGGCTTGTTAATTCATTTATGTCTCTTGTGTATCTCATATATCAGCAATCTTGGCAGAAATCATGAAGTATGGAAATAAGTTATTTCTGGATATTATTTAGATAGTTATTCTGAGTTAATTAAATTTTTAGCCTGTTTAGTAAAGTTTTCTCATGTATTAATTCAAATATGAAATTTCTCTACACAAAGCAGGGGAAGAGAATGAAATACATTCTACCAATGTTATTTAACCCAGTCCAAAGTCTGCATTGTTTTGTGTCGTAGTTAATGAAGATTAATTTTATCATTATAAATTTTAATTTTTTTCGTTCTCTTTTATTATATATGATTTTCCATTGATTTGTGCTGGTGTCTGACAATTTCATCTTTTTACTACCTGACTTCACGACTTAAGACTCTCTTGGTATCGCTCTTACACTCACCCCCACCGATATTTTGGAATTCCTTCCACAAATAATTTTTATGGATTCTGTTTAATTTATTACATTCTTCTTTATTTTCATAGTTTGCATGTTACATGTTTCCAACATCTTAATTGTAACAAAATCCAGTTATGGATTGTTAGGTAATTTAATTATGGGAAGACAATGTTGGGTAACTACATCTACGCAACTTGATATTCTTCAAACCATATTTGATAGAGGAAATGAAAGTCCAACCAATACAGAAATTGTACAAATAGCTTCCTACCTATCCTCACATAGTTATATTTCTGTAAAAAAAACATTCGTGAGTGATTTAAGAATATGTGTACTCAATTAGAAAGAGAAAGAAAATGAAAGCAGTCCAATAACAACTATGAAGTGCAACCTCATCGACGTGTGAGAAACTTTAGTTTAACAGGTTTGTATTTAACGATAGATTATGTTACCCTTCAGCTTTATAAATATTTTTCTTACAAAATTTCCTTTGAAAATGTTTTCTTATTATTTCTTTCTTTTAGGTTATGATAATAATCAACTTGAATCTCAAATTGATTTACAGAAGGATCAAACTATTGATGTAGCTATTGATGAAAACTGTGTTAGTGAAAAGCTAAATAAAAATTCTGAGGATAATTATGTTGAATGTCAGTCGAATGTTGATGTTAGTGTTGAGTGTACAGGACAAATTCATGGGGAAAATATCCCTGTTGAACCTTTTGTCTTGCCATGTCCTAGAACTTGTACACATTGTGGTGCAAAAAAATTCTGCACAGAAAGCAAGGGCTTTTGTTGTTGTGATGGAAAGGTCAAATTACAGTTACATAATATGCCTCCTGAACTATTTTATTTATTTACGTCTACATCTGAAGAAGTTATTGCTTTTAAGAAAGTTGTTCACAGTTATAACAATCATTTTGCATTCACTTCATTTGGTATTAAGTATGACAGAGAATTGTGTAAGAATAATAAAGGTATATATACTTTCAGAATTTAGGGACAAATATACCATTTTATAAACTCTCTTGTACCGCTAGATTGTCATCCAACATATTTACAACTATACTTCTATGATACTGACAATGAAATTGGTAATAGACTTAATGCTTCAGACATGTTTTGTGAATTGACTTTGAGAAAGTTGATGGACATTTTAAACAAAAATCTGTATTCTAACTTTTTCAGATCATTGAGTGAAGTTACTGATCTAGAATCTTGTCGGATTTTACTGAGGTGTGATCCAAGTCTTGATCAGAGAACATATAATTTGCCAACATCACAACAGGTGGCTATAGTTTGGGTTGATGATGGTCCATCTGAAAATACTTGGGGTCGAGATTTATTAATTTATGGACATTCGGGTAGTGTGTATAAAATTCAATATTATTATGATTGTTATGATCCACTTCAATATCCATTACTTTTCCCGTATGGAGAACTTGGATGGCATGAAGGTATTGAGAAGGTAAATGTGAATGTATCCCGACCTTAAGTTTGTCAAAATTTAATAGAGATTAATAATCTCCACTCAGCTGAGGAGTTCTTGGAAATAGAAGATGATGGTAAAATGTATTACTCATAATAATTCACGTCTTATTGATGTTATGTATTTATCTTATTATTGATAATAGATGATGAATGAGTTTCATTGATATATTTGTTTATTTTTTGCAGTTTTGAAAACAAGGAGGAAACGGATGACAATATCTTGTCGAGAATATTATTGTTACAAGCTTCAAATTAGGTTTGGAAACAATTGTCTCTTTTTACATACATGCAGACTTTTACAGTAATATGTAGTGGATATGTATGTTAAAATTGAAATATCAAGATTGGACTATTTTCGCAATAACCAAAAAGTTATAAGAGCAGAAGTATATCAGGGAATTGTAGATAGCGTTCAAAATGGTGAGAATGGAGGTTATAAAATTGTGGATCATTGGTGTTGCCTGCTGGTTTTATTGGGGGTCCTAGAAATATGAGAAAAAGATATATGGAAGCGATGTCTTTAGTTCAAAGGTATGAGAAACCTAATGTGTTTTTGACAATGACATGTAATCCAAATTGGCCCGAAATAAAACATGAATTGAGACACAATAATGAAATACAAAATAGGCCAAATTTGTTGGTGCGAATATTTCGGGCGAGGCTTGAAGAACTAAAGATAGATTTGGTTAAGAGAAAGTTGCTGGCTCCTATAGTTGCATATGTTTATGTCATTGAATTTCAAAAAAGAGGATTACTTTATGCTCATTTTCTTTTAATATTTAAACCAAATTTTAAGATTAAAAATTCTTTACAAGTTGATGAAATAGTTTCGTGTGAAATACCAGACAAAAATAAATACCCTCATTTACATTCAACTGTTGTAAAATATATGATGCATGATCCTTGTGGGGAATTGAATCTAAAGAATGTTTGCATGGAGAAAAATGATGTATGTAAAAATAAATACCCAAGAGAATTTGTCCAATATACTTCATTAGGTAATGATTCCTACCCGCATTATAAACGTCGTAATGATGGTGTAACTGTTAAAGTAAGAGGCTGTATGTTGGACAATAGATGGGTTGTGCCATACAATCCTTATATTCTAGCTAAATATGATTGTCATATTAATCTAGAGGTATGCTCTTCTATTAAAGCTATTAAATATCTATACAAGTACATATATAAGGGTCACGATCATATCCATTTTACTGTGAATAAAGAAACAAATGAACACTTTGTTTATGAAATTACAAACTACCAAACGGCTAGATGGATTTCCCCACCTGAAGCTATGTGGAGGATATTTAGTTTTGATTTATTCGATATGTCTCCTGTAGTGATTTGTTTACAGTTGTATACTGAAGATGCTCAAATGGCTACATATAATGAAAGTGATGATTTATCAAAAGTTATAAATAGAGAATTTATTCATCGAACAATGTTAACTGAATTCTTTAAGATGAATATTTCAGATGAAAAGGCAAGAAATCTCCTGTACAAAGAATTTCCCACATATTTTGTCTGGAATGCATTTATGCGAATTTGGACTCCTAGAAAAAAGAAAAATGTTATGGGTAGAATAGTCGCTGCTAATCCATCCGAGGGTGAACGATATTTTTTGAGAGTTTCACTAAATCATATTAAAAGGCCAAAATCTTTTGAAAATTTAAGAACTGTCAATGGTGTCATTTTATCTACTTATCGTGAGGTGGCAGTTTTATATGGTCTTCTTAGTGGAAATAACTATTTTGAGAGTTGTTTAACTGGAGCAGTTGTTTACCAAATGCCAATATTATTGCGTCGACTATTTGCTAATGTGTTGACTCTATGTTGTCCTGCAAATCCAAGAAATTTATGGGATAAATTTAAGGGTTTTATGATGGAAGATTATTTACATAACGGTATATCACAACAGAATGCTAAGATGAGAGCTTTGCATTATATAAATTCTTTCTTGAAAGGTGTTGGTAAAAATGTGACTGATTTTGGCTTGGTAGATTTTAATTTGAATGTGACTAATGATGATAGCTTTCAAACCATGATTGCCGAAGAAATGACAAATATTAATGTTGAGTCGGACATAAATTATAATAAAAGTCTAAATAGAAAGCAACAGAATGCGTATGATATAATTTTGGATTGTGTTTTGAACGATAAGAATGGAATGTTTTTTATTGATGGCCCAGGTGGCACTGAAAAAATATACTTATACAAGGCGTTACTTGCTGCTATAAGATCACGAAATCTTATTACATTAGTAACAACATCATTTGGTAGAGCTGCGTCTTTATTACCGATTGGTCGAACAGGACATTCATGATTCAAAATTTCACTTCAAATAAGTTCTGATATGTGCTGTTCGGTGAGTAAACAATCCGCACTTGATAAACTTTTGTCAATTTCTAAACTAATTATATGGGATGAGGCGCCAATGGTTCATAAATATGCTTTTGAAGTTTTGGATAAAATGTTAAAAGATATTACTGAATGTTCAATACTGTTTGGTGGAAAAGTCATTGTGTGTGGAGGAGATTTTCGTCAAATTTTACCAATAGTACAGAGAGGAAAGAAAGAGGATATAATGAATGCAAGTTTAGTTTTTTCACATATGTGGCCTTCTTTCACACAACTACCATTGATTCAAAATATGAGAGCTAAATTAGATCCTTCGTTTTCTGAATATTTGCTGAAAATTGGGAATGGAATTGAGAAAGAACATTCATGCTAGATGATTATGCTTCCTCAAGTTATCACCATCAAGTTTGAAGATGAGTTTAAATCATTGAAGGAATTAATTAACATTGTGTTTCCCAATTTCCAAACATATGGAGACAATCTAAATATTATGATGAATAGAGTTATTTTAACCTCAAAAAATGAATATGTGGATTTAGTAAACAACATGTTGCTAAAAGAAATTTCAGGAGAGAAGTTTACTTATTTTAGTTTGATGAAGTAATTGATGCGAAGGATTTATTCATGAAGATTTTTTAAACAGTCTAACTTCAAATGGTATTCCTTCGCATGAACTTGTGCTGAAATGAAATTGTCCAGTTATGTTGCTTAGAAATATTAATCCTGCAGAAGGTTTATGTAATGGAACAAGACTGATTTGTCGTGAATTTAGACACAATATGATTTTGGCTGAAATTGAAACAAGAGAATATCAGGGAAAGCAAATATTTTTACCCAAAATTCTATTTATTCCACTTGAAGGCGATAAACAATCAATACCGTTCAAAAGAACTCAATTTCCACTCCGTACTTGTTTTGCAATGACTATTAACAAAACTTAAGGTCAAACTCTAGATTTTGTTGGCTTATATCTTCCAGAAGATGTATTTTCTCATGGTCAATTGTATGTTGTATTATCCCGAGTTAGGACAAGAAAATATATAAAAGTTTTGATCAAACCTTCTAGCAAAAATAAATCACATGGTTGTTGTATAAAAAATATTGTTTATAATGAAATTTTGAACTTGATTCATGACAGTTAACCGTTTTGAATGAGCTTAAAATCAATTTTAACCTAAGAAGATGGTACACATAGAATTCATTCCAACGGCTAATATTTATGATAGAATGTTGATTTTAGAGTATTTGTCTTTTTGACTCTGGAATTATTTTTTACAGAAATATACTATCTAATATTCCTTTGCAGAATATGAAGGTAGCACTTCTAGAAGTTAATGAATGGAATGGAGTGGATTGCTTTTGTAAGAATTCTAACGTAACTAGCATTTTGAAGTTGTTATTCAAAATATAAATGACATTCTACTTCAAAACACTTTTTTTTAGAGTATCTAAATCAATTTAATTTATGCAGCATGTGAACATTCAAATTTATGAGAAGAAAGTCAAGGAAATGTTGGTGCATAAAAAAATTATTGGTACACACTCTTTTCAAAAATTGGTTACCTGAGGCAAACCAAACTTTCAAGTCTTCAGATTTAAAGATAACTTGTGATGAAGACATAAATGACACAAGTTCTTCTGCACTAAAAGAAAAAAAAATGAGTGGATGATGATTGAGCTATTTGAGAAGTTTTTGACAACTATTCTCTTCTTTTAAATCATGTAGTGTTTAAATTGTCTAGATTAGAAATGATATATACATCACGGTGTTTGGTTTGCTTTATAGGTGCTAGATAACATCAATTATTGTTGCAAGCTTTATTTATAAATCTTGTATTTATTTTTGTCTTCTATTTAGATTTATTTTCATCCAAGTAAATCTATACCTACAGAAACTTATTTTGTAAGTGACATGATTTCTTATATTTAGTTGTCAAAACTAATAAGTTTTAAGATGGTAAGTTGAAATTCATGTTGATAAATAACTAGCAAAACAATAATACTTAATGAAAACTAATCATAAAATTGAAAATTAGTATAGCTATGAAACTATCATTAAACTATATCATTAACAACAAAAGAAATAAAAAATTATATATACATATATGTGTGTGTGTGTGTGTGTGTGCGGGGTGTGCCCGTAGAAGATGTGTGGTGTCTCTGCACCCGCACAATTGTAAGAAATTTTTTCTTTCTTCCACGCTCGAGTATTAACAAAATGTAAAAACTCTCATTTTCAACTTTCACAGGAATTTGTGAATTTGGTGCTGACTTGTTGTGCGAAGATGTCTAGTTTTCTGTTTGCACCACAGAGAATGTGTGGGGCTATACCGCCGCACAATTTGTGCAGGAACACAAATTGTGCGGGTACCGTGCGGGGGTAGCCCCGCACAAGCCCCGCACACCTGCACATTTGTGCGGGGCTATCCCGCACAATTTGTACGAGGGGTGTGCGGGATGTCCCCCCTTCGTACAAATTGTGCAGGATACGACATCACTCGCACAATTTATGAGAGGTATACCTCGCATCTTCATTGCTTTCTCTAAATACTATCAACAATATTTTGAGCTATATGAAATTTTAAATAAAATATATATTGTTTTGGTTAAAGATTAGTACAAGAAATTTTAAATAAAATATATATTGTTTTGGTTAAAGATTAGTACAAGAAACAAAAAAGTATTATCTCTTTTTTTCATTCTTTGTTTCCACAAAATCTTGCAAAACATTACAAATTTTGTAGAGTCACGAGAATCCTGTAAGAAGGTGCCAAAACACTGCCACATATTATGTCTATTTCTACAACTGTGTGAATACTTTATCTATTCTACATGTGAACCTCTGGTCAAATCATTGAAAAAAGCAACGTACATTTCTTTAGCTTAAATACCTTCGCATACTATTTGCTCTCACAAAAAAAAATTTAAATATTTTTACCTACCACTTGCACCGACTTTGCTCAAAAAATTCAGGTGTTATCTATTATTTTTTCTTACCTTTTTAGATAGATTTTTAGTTTTACATAATGTCTAATTTCCAATATTTAATTGTGTTTTAAATCTTATGATGTATGTAATTCTTTCTAAACTTAGTAGACACAAAAATGGATGTGCCACATAGCTTCTCCAAAATCATCGATGTTTCACTAAATCATAACATTCGTTTTGTAAGTTATATAATAATTTATTTTTCCAGATTTTTTAAAATCTTTTATTAATATTAATGTACAACTTATATTTTTTCTCGTATTTGTAGATGCTTCCTACATCTTTTATCAATTACTGGGAACCAGAATTAGGTAACACACTACGATTAACTGCATATGATGGTATAATCGTCACAGTACAGTTAGAAAGAATTGATGAAGAAATATATCTTGCTAATGAATGGGAAGAATTTTTCGACCATCATAACTTACAGAATGGTTATGTTGTAGTATTTGAATCTAATGAAAATTTAATATTGAATATGAGGATATTTAATCATTCTAGAGCAGAGATTACATATGACTCCAATTATGAAGTAGACGACGACGATTTAAATATGGATAATCTAGCGTTTAAAGTAAAACTAACGCTGAATCATAACAACCATCGAGAAATTGTAGGTGTTATTTTTAATACGTCATTCTGTATTTACATATTCCACATAATTCTTAATATTAGTAAATCATTAATCCGTGTTTTCCAATCTATACCAGGAAGGTTTGCAAAACACCATTTGCCAAGTCATGTGCAAAATGTTCGAATCCTCGACTCTTTACTTCATTACTGGGATATCACCGCAAATTCAAGAGGAAATGGTGTAATACGTCGTCTTAGTGTAGGGCAGATTTTCTGGCAGACAAGCAACTATAAATTGGCGATACATGTGTATTTGAACTATTAAATATGGAATCTCCAATATTTATGGTTTACAAAAAAAAATCATAATAATAGGACTCTAATACGTCTATGAAACATTTTTTTACTGATTATATTCCTAACCAATAATGTTTAATTTTTATGTTTATCCAGCAGTTAATTATCTCATTGACAGTTTCATAGACTACATTTTTTCCTTTCTTTTTACTGCAGTATTTTTAACTGAAATATAACATTCTTTTTGCCCTATAGTAATGATGTTTTTGGTTAATTCTGCGACCATCACAATTTAAAGAAATGTTATCCTCTCGTATTTGAGTATATTGGGAATTCGACATTCGGTTATGCATAAGAGATCGTGTATAACTCTCTCGAGAAAGTGTTGCTATTTTACTGAATTTGAATTTTGACTTCCAAATAAATGGTTAACGTACATAATATATACTTTTTAAAGAAAATGATATAGATTATATTGAGCAAATTATCGGCAGTTTTATTATGTTGATATATATTTTTTATTATATATTTTTATTTTTTGCTTTCTTAAGCTTCAAATTTTTTTACATTTGAGTTTTTGTTCCATAACCCAATCATCAACCTCTCACATTTTTTGGTTTTCTTTATTTAATGATCGATAGTTTCACGGACAAAATTGTTGCGTAAAGTTATCTAACGTCTCATTTAATTTTGATTATTGTTTGGTTTCACCATACCTATTCTGAATATTACTTCTGAAATACTGCTTGATTTTATCATACACATTCTGATTATTGCTTGAATTCACCAAACCCATTCTAACTGTTGCTTGAATTCATCATACCCATTCTGATTGTTGCTTGAATTCACCAAACCCATTCTAACTGTTGCTTGAATTCATCATACCCATTCTGATTGTTGCTTGAATTCACCATGTCATTCTGATTGCTTGCCATATCCATTCTATTATTGTTTGATTGCACCAACCATACCCTGGTTATTGCTTGATTCCACCATACTCAACAATTTGTATCTGTATTCAAAAAGTTTGAAAAATTTATTTGCTTGCGTAGTTAATAGAAGTTTACTTGACAATACCCATAGCTGTAAGGTTGATTTGATCTT